TAGCTAGGATCCAAATATAGACCTCTAAACTTTCCTCGTAATGCATCCACACTTCGCAAACCATCACAGTCCCAAAATACCACCATAGCACGGCGTTCTCCTTGGGAACCTCTACTGTAGCTGTCAGCCAGCTTGCCCTCCCCGCTTCACAGTCATAACACTGTACTTCATGCGTTTCCTGGGATTTTACTTCATTCAGAAGTTTCGAGATGTTGCAACTTTGAAAGTATGACTTACAATTCGCTGATGACAGTCCTAACATAACCAAGATTCTCTTCAGATTTATATTACTTGACTTAAAACAATGCTACTACTTCTATTGTTTTATAATTATTTACCATGCAAAAGTACTTAATTTTTAAACATTATACAGACTCTGAAAGTTGTTACCTTCCGTATGAGGCGCACATGCACTGATAATATATGTCACAAAGGTCACTGTCAAAAACACCACCTTTTAGTTAATTTACACTAGCCTAATTATCACGCGACGACTCCACGCGCACACACACAGACTAATAAAAATGGCTGCATGCATGTTGCAGAGCGACCTTACCTCCCCGACTGCCAGTCTGCCCACGCCTCCCACCGGCGATAGCGCTGCTTGCGCTACACAGCTGACTCGAGCGTTAGTGGATGCTGGCTGACATTTTAGGCTTCTTCTCGCAGTTCTGTGCGTGTAGTAACGAAAAGTGAGGAGCAACGTAATATCACCACAGCCTGGCAGCGGAAAATGTACTCAAATGAAGGAGGGATATTTTTATTGTACTAATTAATTATTCACATATTAATTGCTAGTTGGTTGCGCATGTCACACCTATAGAAAAGAATCATGGGTAAGCAATATGGCCGTGTGCGGCTTGTTTTTGTGATCGATAGTCGAGTCGTTTAGTTTCTGTTTTGCGTGTTATGATGAGTTTTGGCTATGTGGGTTGCATTTTTAATTTATTATAGGTTCTGTGTGCTATTAGTGTTCGTAACATTAATTGTCTACAACAGCAGTGACGTTGAAATTTATTTGGAATGTGTTGAATCAGGCAATGACCATAACACACATTTGACAGTGTTTGCTGCGTATTATCTTGGTAATTGTACCCTGCTATGGGGATAATTGTTGTCAGTGCAGTACTTATCTTTATCCGACGTGGTGTAAGTTTTGATACGAGGAGTTATTCGAAAGCCTTTAATCAAATAAGTTATACTTATTTGATAATTTACAGCCGTGAGTATTAATAATGAAGAATATAGATGACAATATATTATTTTATGAATGTTGCGTCTTTTATTTACGTGTGAAAAAATTATCATGTTAACATTTTATTAATTTTCAAGGTAATATAAACTGTTTTCATATATTTAGCCACCAAGGAAGCAATAACACAATTGTATTCAAGGCACTAGTGTCCCTCCCCCCCTCAAAAAATTGTAAGTGATCAGGGAATATAGTACTAATTGCATATAGTTCATGTAAATTGTATTTGCATAGATTGTGAGGGATTTAATTTCTCTTCTAATTTAGATAACATGAAATTTACACAATTTTTGTTTTAAAATGATTTGGTTTAAGTAAAAACCCAAGATGATGGATAATGTCCATAATAATCATGTTTATTGTAACATATTCATCAGAAACATATAGGTGTAAGTAAGTTTAAGTAAACAATACTGATAAAAACAGGTTATGTTAGGGTCTTTCCCAAAACAGGTAAAGTAAGACAATAAGTTAATGGTTGATGCAGTGTCATTGTTTCTTATACTGTTTTGTTTCCTTAATGATTATAAACGAGTTTTAGTGAACATACCCTAGTGTTAGTACTGGTACCATGTGTTTTAGTAATGTGTATCTATTATTGTGAATAGACCTTTCTGCCTCTCACAGTGTCCTTTCTACATATCGAGTTCAGATGTTATACCTACTCATCTTTCGAAGATCATTTTTCTTTTACTGTGTGTCATTTTACAGCAATTTAAATAATATTTGAGGCAAACTTGACTCTTGTGACTTTGAAATTAGTATCATAATTTTGTAGAGTTTAGAACAAAATACAGTTTCACTTGACTTTGTTTTTCTCAACAGTACATAAGTTTGGTCTTCATGATCTCAGATGAGAGCATGACCCCATGTTTACAGACCACTCATTGGCTTTGCAGGCCATAATGTTCATGTGAAATTTTATTTACTGTGGAAAAACTGTTATTTACAGTTTCTTTAAATGCTAAGCTGAATAGTCAATGCCTGAAGCATTTATTTAAAATTCCCTCTCACTGTATATATAATAACTTCATTTTGGAAACCTTATGAATTAAGACTTAGGAACAGGTTAAATAGTTTATTTCCAAGAAGAAAGTTCAAACTTTAAGGCATATTTGATATTTTTTTATCTTGTATATCAAGTCTCCATTGGCTTTAATGATTGTGTCATGGCATTATCCCTGAACACCTAGTTTTGAAAATATAAATACATTTCGCATTATTTTTAAAATGTTTCTCTGGTTTAATACCACTTGCTGTGTTTCTCACATAATAAAATATTTGAATATGAGCAGGCCTTAGACTTAGAATTCTTGTAGAGGTGTGGATGGACATGCAGTCGGATGAATGAATTATTGAATTTGTTTTCAAATACTTACAGCATTAAAATCATTTACTCCCAAATATTCCATTAAAATTGGTTTCCATTTGTATTCATTTAAGAAGATATTCAAGAATGTGTTATCAGAGGCTGTGCGGTCATTTGTATGGTAGGAAAAGTTTGTTATTTCTTGTAGTTACTGCTTGGCTCAGCAGTCCTTGAAGGACCTTGATTGTGTCATGGAAGTTTTTTTAAGCTATATAGTATTTGGTACAACTCCATGGTTGAGTGATCAGCCTATTGCAGAACCTCTATCTACTGGACAGCACGACACCAGCAGGTGCGGACAAACATCTGTGCCTTGAGTAGGATTTGAACCCATGATCACATTGGGCAATCCAGGATTGTGCCCCAGACCTCATTGTCACTGTAACTGGCATATGGTTGTTTGTGTATAATTTAAAATATTTGAGTACTTGTGGGTTATCGGGACACATCGCTTTAAAAATAGGTTAGGTTAGGTTAGTTATTTATTGAAATAAAATATAATAACTTTTAAGTATATGTCATTTATCCACACATATTAACCTAACCCAACTGAACCTAACCTAAACTAACTTAACCTAACCTATTTTTAAAGCAATGTGTGTCCCGATAACCCACAAGTACCAATATTTTAGTACTGTTACAAGTATTTGTTTATTCAAACAGTTAACTAATCGATTTATTTTTATTACAAGTAAAATTATGTGGAACTACAGCTGCTAGTTGTCCATCTTCCAGTTGATGCATGAGTGCATATGGAGTAGGAATTGAATAATATTGGCAGGGGAAATCCAATGAGCTCAGAGCATCACTGTGTCATCCCAAATCCCACATGGACTTCCATGGGTGCGAACCTGGGCCTCTGTGCTGATAAGTTGGCAGATAATCACTTTGCTGTGGCATGATCTTATAAATGTAAGTAATAAGGAAAATTTATTTTGGGTGATAACAGTGCAGTGGATAAGGGCTGATGAATTATTGTAGTTTATAACAACCATACAAATATGTTTGTAGAGCTCCTCAATAAAGGATGTGAGTTGTTTAAAATTTTATTTGTTGTATATTATATTATAACACAGTCTTTACATGTTTATCCTGTACCCCAGATTCCTTAATCTGTGTTAATTTATGCTTTTATTGTGATGGTGATCAGCCTGTAAGTCTAAAGCAAGTAATTTCTGAGTTATTTGCTCAAGGAAGACTGTACCAGGTACTACATGTAATAATTAATTAATTCCTTAGTAGCAGTGAACTCTTTTGCAGTTGCTGGCTCCAGTGCATTACAGCAACTTAAGGCTTCAACATAATTTTAACACTATATTAAAATATGCACAGAAATTAAATATATTATGTATCAGAACTGTTGTTTGTGTATATGAAACAATGAGATTGAGTACTTTTTCTGCCTCATTGATTCTCCGTATTATGTATGATATTCTAATAGCACGTTGTCCAGCTGCATAGAGAAGAATCCCTGAGAAGCTGAAAGTCCCTCGACTAGTCAAGATATTCCACGCCTTTTATGGAACTCACAAGATCCTGCATTGTGGGCCCTATCCTAACCACACAAATTAAGACCACATCCTCACACACTGCCCGTTTTAATATTATCCCATCGATTTCTGTCTTCCAAGTGACATTTCTCCTTAAGTTTTTCCATTGACCATTTTATGTAGTCTTGCAAATCTTGTGTGTGCTACTTGGCCCACCCATCTCCTACTATTTAAGATTAAAAAATCAGACCATTTCACAATTTGCCATTGTCTGTCATATCTTTGGAATGCATAGTATACTCGTATTGTGTGAAATGACCATTAGACCGCTTTTATTTTTTACGGTATGTGGGATGGATTGGGGTCCAGTTCTTCTTTTAGCGTTATGTGGTGGTTTCATATGAGACCTCGCAGGACTCGTATTGCTTCCCTCATTCCAACACACTTAGTCCTGCATAGCGTGTGTGCAATAATAGCGGTCTGGACCGGCAACAGATCATTATTTGGATGAGTTATTGGCCGTACGTTGCACCTTATGTTCCAGCTAAAATGTATAAGTACAGTATGTTTAAAAATGTGGCAACACTTTCGTTCGTTCAACATGTTTACACACAAGGATCGTGAGGAACATATAAGAGACTGCCCAGAGTGTGGAAAAATTTAATAACTTATTAAATACCTTCTCTTGGCTTGGTACATTATCGGACATCGAAGGATCAGACCTTATAAGTTATAATAGGCAGGAACTAGTGTGTCTACTAGTACAGGTAGCCCTCTATTTGCGCCGATTTTGAAACCAGCAAGTCAAAAAAGTGAAAAAAATATATTTTACTATTATTTATAACCTTTTACAATGTGTATCATACTGATTCTTATACTAAATCGTAATTCTTACATCGCTGATTTTGAATAGAAATTACAAATACAGTCATCTCTGCAATTACGTGTGTTTCGTTAACGCCAATTTGCTCCAATGAGATCGATGAATCGGTAAAAGCTGTTTGTGAAATGAAAACTTTTGCTTATGCTAGTTTGCTCTTGTGCAATTTAATTCCTGGCGCTTTAAACTTTCAAAGGACTAATTTAATCTCTGCGGAGGTCCGGGGGTTATTGTTACTACGCGATTTTCTATAGGTCGGCGTCTTACATGAATGCTACTATCGCATAACAGCAGAGATGACTGTACGCACCAATCACATGAAAGAATCGCAGTCAATCGCGGGGACCAACGAATTGCCGATTGTAAGTGTATAAAATATATTTTTTATATTCCCTTTGTTTTATTTACGTTATTTCAGAGCTTTAAATGTAATGCCATTATATTACTCGTCAATGTTTGGGTGCTGGGAACGCATGTCATTGACTTCCCATTGATTTACACTATAACAGAGTTTCAGTTTACGCCGGTTCCTCCAGGAACGCATTCCCGGCGTAAATCGAGGGCTACCTGTGTATGTTTCCCTATATCTAGTAATCTAATAGTTCAAATACGATTAACTCCATGAAACTTATAGTTCCTTCAGCTAGTCAAGAAAATTCCACCTTTTATGGAACCATAAGGTTCATTACCGTCTTTACAAGAGGTTGCTACCGGTTCCTTCCTTGTGGCAGATGAATCAAGTCCTCATCCTCCAACCCTATTCCATAAGCTTCGTTTTAATATTACCTTCCAATCTATGCGCAGTCTTCCGTCTGGTCTCTCTCCTTCAGGGTTTCCAATAAAAATTTTCTACGCACGGCGGTTTACCTGTAATGAACCGTTGCAGCTATAATTGCGAACATTTATCTGATGACACAAAAAATATTTCCAGAAATTTTTTATAAGCCTGCAGTTACAAAGATGATAACGGTGCTTTGATGTTATTTCTGAGGAATTTAACGTAGATAGGATCTGCATAAACTAAATATAACATAGGCTTAAACCGAAATAGTGGTAACATTTTGTGACTTATTTACAGTTTTAAGCAATAATGAAAGCGTGAGGTTCGACCGTTTAACCATTTACCATTTGCTCTTATCCACTCAGTACACTAGACACATAGTAATTAATTGTTAATTAAAAACGTTATAAGAGGAATCGCTATGAGAATTTAAATTGTTAACTTAATCCGAACGCCGTGAACGTTCCGAATAGCATGGTGCAAAGAACGCATGTACATACTTTGTGTTCTCCAACATGGATTGTACCTTTACAGTATTGTCTCTTACGCGTGACCGTGGAGGATGATGTCGCGTATCGATTACAATAAACATCATCAGTACGTGAATGCTACGTGAATACTTAAAAGGGCTCACACCAAATCTAAAATCACACGCTTTGTGGTCTCATAAACACACTTCACAATTTTCTGGCGTCGCGCCATCTGAAGACCCACACTCGTGATTCTTATAATCCCAAACTCCGTCTTCTGCTTCTTCTTCTTCTTGTGTATTTCTCCGACATGTCAACATCATGTATGGTATGATGACGTATTCTACAGTCTACCCACTCGGCATCATACAGAAAGTTTATCTCGAAAATTCATGCAAAAGTGTCACACAGCCATTTATAAACTTAAATGTACTATGATGGCTATCTTATGAAATGTTGCACCGTGTAGTCTGGTAGAAGAATACAGATAATTCAGAGGTCATCGCCATATGATGGAGGCAGCAAGCTCTTCTGAAACGTCGATAAACTTTACCAGACTACTCGGAGCTACAAACCAGAAAACGTTCATGTTGATACTCGCAGCCGTGAAAACCTGAAAGCATCCCTCTCATTATTGGCTCCCTCTTTTAAGTTACTCAGACCGAATGGTTTGCCATGGAAGTGGGCAGCATTCGTTCATATATTCCTGTAATCTCCTGCGCCCCGGACCTTTGGTGACACTATTGCATCTACCTCCTGCATCTAACCTACATCAAATTCTTAAGTGCTTAATTTCAGTCCGTTACGTGATATTAAAAATTCATTTTTGGTGAGTTATAAATTTTAAGACAAAATAATCTTTGATATCAAACCTATGGAAGAAAACATCAGCGATGAGCGTACTGTATTTGGTAACGGGGGGGGGGGGAGGTCATGAACAGGAATAGAATGGTCAAATAGGGGTATATATATAGGCCTGCAAGGTGTAGTAACTTGTGGAAGATCACAAGGTATGGAAAGTAATGGACATCATTTTTACATTTCTTTATAGTTTCCATTGACGCTGTGAGTTAGTCCCCTTTCTCCCTCCACCTCAGTAGTCTGTTCCAGCAAAGGACAAAGGTTGTTGACGTATTAGACCTAGTATTGGCTCAACTTTCCATTCTGAGCAAAGCCTGTTTTAAGTAACATTGTAAAATGTATTTTGTAATTTATACAATTTGTATGTAAACTAGTCTACGTATGTTATGATGTGTTACAGTGGTCTGCGGTTCCGATCAAATTGGTAGTAGATAAAAGTATGTATTAGAACTCTTAAGTTTGTGCCATGAGGAGAGTTGTCCAAGCTGTTGTATTTTCGTGGATCGATCGCTTGGAGAATAGCCCCTAGGAAAATTGAGAAGCAAACGGGATCACAGTATCGAGCATCGCGGGTGAGTTTTTTGGAGCCCTGTTTCGTATTCGGGAGGTCACCAGTTCAAGTCTCGGTCCGAAGACCCGCTAGACTTATTTAAGATGTGTGTAGTCTGTAGCAGTCACGGTCTGTTTATGGAGGGAGTGAGTTTCTCAAACACGTCGGTGGACGTTACCAGACTACACGGTGTGACATCCCAGAAGACAGCCATCTTTGTAGTTATGGATTAATTGCAAGTGATTAATAATTCGAGGTTTAATAGTTTGGTATATTTACTCGTTGCTTTAAAAATATGGTATCTTTTGTGGCAGTGCCATGCGTCAGTTATGCTTCCAGTTTCGTACAACAACAAATGAAATAGAAACAGAAGTCTTTGGTAGTGGCTGTATGGTGGCAGCTAGTGGTGGGAGGGTTTTGGACTGTGATAAGTCCTCCAGAGGCGATGACATGAAATTCTTCTCGATCTTTTGCCACACCATCACAACACACACTTGCAGAGAGCCACACGCTCTAGCTGGTCCAACAGTTAATTTCTCTTCTCTGGAAAGGAGAAGACGAAGAAAGAGGAGAACGGCGGACGCTTGAGAGAGTCCCCATTCTCCGTCTACGTCTCCAAGCCCCCTTCCCAAAAGCTAGAAGATCGCCACTTCTCTCGTGGTGACACCGTTCAGCGGTCGATCGATTGTACTGGCAGGATGAAAGGGGGTTAGAAGAGGGGAAAAGGATACCCCACCCCCAGATGTTTAGTAGTTTTCTAAAACCCCTTTGCCCCATTGCCTCATTTTTCTTTCTCTCGCTTTTCATTCTCACCCCATGAAGCAACTTTGTCTTTTACTTCCACTTATCATTTTGGACTCGCAATCTTTTGTTGTATTTATTTTACAGTAACACGAACAGTTCCACGATTTTATGGAATGTGACACCCTTCTTCTCGTTGTTATTGTGAAACCCACGTTTTATTTAAAAATCGTAAGACGTTTAATCGAACAAACAAAATTCAGGAAAGGGAACGTTTCTGAGTGCAGTAGCAGTTAATGCCCGTTTCCCTTTATAAATACACTAATGGTATCATTCGTTATGTTTGCCTTTTCTTAGTTTTTCAGCATTTAATTCAGTACCATTTCTGTTTGCTTTGCAGACAAAGAAATTGCATATCCACGGCCATTTTATTTACAGCCCAGCACATTCTAATAAACAGAATGTTCAATTTAAGAGCTTAAGCAATTGCTTACTCTTTGTAGAGAATGACACTTAATGTCATACATTTATTCTAACATCGTATGTTAATAGTCCCCGAAACTCTTGGTATAGAGTTTAACGTTATTAATTCGTATTTTGTAGGCCGGGGTTCGAATCTTGAAATAGTATGGTGTGTCCCAGTTCCTTTTATCCCAACATAACAGCATGAGGATCGAGAACTAGTGCAGCATGTCCACCCGTCCACTGTTCTTCTTCATCTCTGGTTTGGCTGTTGTCCAATTCCATGGGGCAGAGTTCATCTCGAAAATGCTGATAGTCGTTCAGCTGGTTAGGAAATTTAGCTTCTTTTACACGTCTCAGAAGTTTCTTATCTTGAAAATGACTGTATTCTTGAATGTTGTAGTCTGGTAGAATTTTACCAACGTTTCAGAGGTCCTTGCTACATCCGTCGTCAGGGCGCATCAGCGTGGCTGACGCGGTCAATAATTTCACAAGAGCCCGTCACTTGTCTCTATCCGAAACCACGCGAAGCCGTCCATGATCGTGTGTAATTTTTATAACATTAATTTTCTTCGCCTTCAACTCTGTAGCTGGAGGACCGGCCTTTGTAGTCTGTCTACGACTGGTTATTTAATAAATTCGCAGCAAATCTTAATCCCTCTAGAAAATGCTGGAGTTGTAGGGCTTATCTTATAAGGACATACAACTTCCTTCCCAATCCTTTCCACTTCCCGATTCACGTCATTCTATCAATTGCCTGTTTATAACCATTGTAGTTGAATATACTTTAAAGAATCTGTAATCACTGCTTCCACGTCACTTCAATTCATATTCACACTCATTTAATCTTTCGACTCTGTTGATGAAGCGTCATCACGTAAATAAAGAACCACGCCGATTTATAGCCTCTTGGTTTGTGTTTTGAAAAATTCAATAGCAACAGGATGTAGAGTTGTGGGTGGCTAAATTTTCAAACTTCTGAGTAGGTACAGAACATAACATCTGGAACATTCCTTAGTGCAGATGATGGTCTGTAATAAGAGGTGATGATTCTTGACTTGGTGCCACTGGACAATAGTGAACACTATGTACGGGAAAAAAAATAGTTCTGTTCGCTTACACAACTAAAGGACGTCACGAAACGAGTGGAATTTCGTACGACGATTGGTGAACAGACGGTACTGAGCTATTGATTCTGTGTTGTCGCTCAGGGTAATGTCTCAATGGAACAATGGTCTTTATCCACATCCATTTATTATCATTATCATCTTCATGAACTTTGCACGGTTTGGTCGTTAAAGCGTGTTCTTACGAATCCCAAGATGATATTGGTCTCTTTATCGTCGTTATGGTCGTGTTAAGCCTCATCGTCCGTTCGGACCGACGGAAGGTCGTCTCTTTGCAAGACGATTTCGCCAATTCTGGTGCTAGCTTTAACTATATTTGTAACTTTAAATCTTTTCCTGGTGTCAGAATTTCTTTGGAATTAAAGTTTAAGGGCCAGTTAGATTCCTTGAATCCAATATACTGTCGTATTCCGTCTTGTCCGTTTTGGTTTGCAACGTCCTCTAGAAATGTGTTGAAGTTTTATTAAAACTTTTTATTTTACACAAAGTAGGCACAATTCTTATAGTAAAAATATTTTTGTTTATGGTTAATATATAATTTTATTTTCTTATATTGTTTACTTTAACATTGCTGTCAGTAACTCAAACTAAATAAAGTTGAAGAACAGCATGATTGATGAATGATGGATTTAGAGGTGTATGGAAGTGGTCGTGGCTTAACGGGACGGAGAAAGACCACGAAAACCGCCAGTTATGTTAGCTGGTCTCCGGGTCGAGATTTGAATCTGGCCCGTCCCGAATGCGAAGGAAGAATACTAATTACTCAGTCGCGAAGTTGGGATATTCAGAGGTAGTGTTCATTAACTTTGATACAACAGGTTTGTGCGTGCAATGACTAAACAGTAACACTGATAAGTCACGTAGAATCGTAATTAATAGATTATGTACATGGAGCGGAGTCTCATTGTCAGTGAGCCGATAAATACATTCCACTCCCTCTTTATGCGACTCGAAGATTTATTACCATCTTTATCCCGCCCCAGGACACTAATCCTGAGCCCGTTGAATTCCGTACACTCCCTTATATCCCACTAAACTAATCATAAAACTCTCCTCGCATCTACACTAGGTCTACCAAGGTTTCTCTTCGCGTTCGGTTTTCCAGCTACAATTTTGTACACATTCTTAATTTCCACTGTGCGTGATACATACATGAATCATGAACTTCAGTGAAAGTGCCTGGAGAACGTGTAAGCCTCTTTGAAATTGGGCATCTTTTTGCTATTATTTTAATAATATATGCTTAAATTTCGATCTGAGCGAAAAGAAAATCAGTGGTCACTGTAAGTGGCCAGGTTTTGTTTCGCTGCCAGAAATGCTTTGGAATTTGTGCCTGCTGAATAATTTGTAACCGTTTAACGCATATGTCGTATTTTTCAACCCCAAACGGGCGTGGCATTTGGTAGTCTGAGTGGTCGATACTTATTCGGTCCTGATAACACGCCACAGTTCATCACCGTCATGAAAGCTAATAT